ACGGAGGTTCTAGGCAGCGTCTGGGAATCAGAGGAAGTCCCATCGGGTTGGTGTAAGTCACTGATCATCCCGATATACAAGAAGGGGGACAAGTCGTCTTGTGATAATCACAGAGGGATTAGCTTGACTAATATAGTATCTAAAATCCTAGACTCAATAATACTGCGTAGACTAAGTGGTGCTCGGGAGACACAAACACGAGAAAACCAGGCAGGTTTTAGGCCAGGTAGAGGGTATATTGATCACATCTTCACCCTTCGACAGATTCTAGAACATAGGCATTCCTACCGGCGTCCGACAATCATTATATTTCTTGACCTAAAGGCGGCTTTCGATTCTGTCGACCGGGAGGTTCTCTGGCGATGCTTGGCTGTAAAGGGAATGCCAAGAAAATACATTGCACTGATTAAGGCACTCTACTCATACTCATGCAGCCAGGTGAGGGCTTATGGCGAGTTGTCATCTGAAGTGGTGACGACTGGTGGCGTCCGTCAAGGATGCCCATTATCCCCATTCCTATTCAATTTCATCATAGACGTACTAATGGATTTAACCCTATCACACTTCAGCGACTCAGGGATTGACTTGCTACCAGGGAAGAATCTCGTTGACTTAGAATATGCGGACGATATAGTCCTTCTAGGCGAGGACTCTGACAAAATGCAGAGTCTACTGAACACCCTGAGCAACAATCTCCGTATGTTTGGCATGCGATTCGCCCCTGTAAAATGTAAGATGATGCTGCAGGATTGGACCTCATCGACCCCTAGATTAGAAATAGGAAGTGAAGTGGTAGAACACGTTGACCGCTTCAATTACTTGGGAAGTTGCATCAGCCCCAACGGGTTGATTTCCGACGAAATCTCAGCACGAATACAGAGGGCTAGGTTCGCATTCGCCAGTTTTCGCCGTCTCTGGCGCAGACGTGATATCCGACTATCGACCAAAGGGCGTGTGTACTGCTCAGCAGTCCGCTCCGTCCTCCTTTATGGCTTTGAGACCTGGCCATTGAGAGCAGAAGACATGAAAAGATTAGCTGTCTTTGATCATAGGTGTCTGCGCTCCATCTCCCGCGTGAAGTGGTATAATAAGGTGAGCAATATTGAGGTTAGGCGTCGAGTGCTAGGTAAGGCGGGGAAATCAATCGACGAAACGGTGAAATTACTTCGACTGAGATGGTTAGGACATGTGTTACGCATGCCTAGCCATCGCCTTCCTCGACGGGCAATGTTTGCTGATATAGGGCTAGGTTGGAAAAGAGCTAGCGGCGGTCAAACGAAAACATGGCACCAATCAATGAAATCTACAACAGTTAGTCTAAGCCACGTAGGAAGATGTAGACTTCCTGGTTGGGGTCCTCGGGACGGTAGAAACCAATGGTTGGAAACAATTGGTGACATGGCTGAAAATCGTTCTCAGTGGCGCAGATGCATCCACTCCTTGTGACTTATGATTTCCAATGAAACTGTTTTGTTCTCCGTTATTACTATTCCTTTGTCTCACACCTCTGTTTACTGTTTCCATTATGCATTTCTTCTACTTTCTTCTCTTGCTTTGTGTGCTACATGGAGTGTGGCGACTTGAACTGCCGCACATCAGTGCAAAGTTCTATGTCGAAAACCGACCGACCGCCCGACCTGTATGGCGTTTACTGTTATTCCAAGATCTGTGTTCTTGCATTTATACGTCACTTTGGAATTGACTAGATATCTTTTTTAGTCAATTCCACACATGTATATAAATGAAGGAAAAAGTTGTGTGAGTAACTTGATATGATTATGAGATGCAATAATTTGTGCTCGAAACGTCATCAGTTAATATTACTGTGTAACACTGTATGACTTATCAAAATACAATCTTATCCATAATGGAGTTACACTCTACCACCACAGTGCCTAAGTTTTATACTTATATGACTGGTTTCAACATAGAACTTTGCATAGATGCGCACCAGTTAGAGTTACCACACTCGTCAGCCATCAAACCTCTGGTGTTGGCTGATGCAGCTCCCCTAATAAGTGAAGTGGTCAACACGCTCCACCACTTCACTCCCTACCTTTAAGCTAGGAATGAGTCAATTTAGTTCAGTTCTGTAGCATCATCTTACATTTGATGGAAGAGAGCAAATCCCATGTCAAAAATCAAAGATACGCATGTCGTCTTATTTGGAACTCGTTATTAGGATGTACCTATATTTTTCAGTGAGTGAGTGATGGTTTCAAAGCGTTATCCGCTAGACCACATGGGCAACGAGAGCCGCTTATTGTGCAACGCGTATCAGTAATTATTCAATTCGATTTGGACTTTCACGTCGATCCAGTCAATCAAATAATGAAAAACATGAGTTAAAAATATAAGGAGGATTACAAAGAGTTTGAGTGCAACTGCATCATTGAAAACCCATTGATTCTTAATATCCCGAAGACTCCAAAACCACCAAGCTATCTACTCGACCGAAAGCTGCTACCTTGACGTGGTGGTCAAGCTTGCATATCGCAATGACCCAACGAGCTACACTGGCTGGAACTTAAGTTCCTGTAGGTCCTACCATGCCAGAAAGGTTGTTTGTATAGCGGTTAGACAAAAAGCAGCTACCCAATCCAATGCCATGACTGAAACAAAATCACAAAATATCATGCTAGATCGGTCGGGGCTCGGATTAACAACGACCGCGCTTTCTGCTGCCGTGTCACAGGGCAGAAGTGATAAATATGCTACTGAGACACACCAAATAAAGAAGAACAAACAAAAGCAGGCCGTGTGTGACCGGCCTCAAGCAGTTGTCCCCTGGGCTCTGCGGTCACGCAACTAACTTCCATGGTGTGGGCAGCCAGGAAATAACAATCGCCTTCACAACCCGAAGAGCACGCGAAACCTCTCTAATCCTCACTCATCTTTGTCTTCATCTTCATCTCTATTATCGTGCCTTCCTTCTACTAATGCAACTCCTCTACTTGATGGCTCTTCACTTCCTCTTCACTCTGTGTGCACTGATAACGATGGAAGGCAAAAAACCACCATCGATAGTCTCCTAAAAGCAATCTACACCTTTCTACATGGCTGTCACACACACACAAACTTTCAGAGACTTCACATGGACTAATGTCAGATTTTGGCTTAACCACCCCTAAACACTTTGCCAACCTACTCTAATCTAATGTCAGCTAACAATGCTTGTCAACGGAGGCGGTAACTTGGCATCCGTAAAATCAATATTTCATCGATTGGTTTACCCACTCTAACTAACCCTCTACGCATAACCTCAATATTACCTGCCATATTATACTACAAACTATAGCAGATAAAAACGCAAACATCTGCGATCAAAGACCACTAGTCTTTTCATGTCTTCCACTTCCAATGGCCAAGACTCATAGCCATAAGGAAGGACAAAGCGAAATGTTTCACAGTACACACGTTCCTCGACCGACAGCAGGATATCAAAAATATGTAGGTTTTTATTTTGATAAGTCACATAGTGGTGTTATACAGTAAGTAATATTAACTGATGACCACGTTTCGAGCACAAACTATTGCCACTCATAATCATATCAAGTCACTACTCACACAACTTTTTTCCTTCATTTATAAACGTGTGTGGACATCTAAGACCCTACGTAGGATTCTTAATAAGGTAGGAATTAGGGTGGCATTCAAACCTATAAACTCACTCAAATAAAGCAAGCTCTGTAGGCTAAAAGACACGGTGGACCCAATTAGACAAAAAAAAAATTTACAAAATACGCTGCAATGACTGTGAGGTCAACTATATAGGTCAAACTAGTAGATCGGGGGTAATCAGATTGTCGGAACATAAGAAATTAGCTAAGGTAAGAATGTTTGACCCCGAGAAGATAAGTAATTTAGAAAAAAGCTCAGCAATTGCACTTCACGCATTAACACACAACCACACAGTAGGGTGGGAGAGGGTTAAAATTCTAAAAAGTAACCTAGGTAGGTGGAGAGGGAGGTTGATTACTGAATCCTGGTTCATCGAGTCTACACCTAACACCATTATGGATACACATGCAACAGAAATGACTCAATGCAAATATGGAAGATATTATTACCACCAGTCAAATCAGAAGAGGATTATAAATAATCTTAAAATTCTATTTCAATTCAAACACATCACAACATTCTAACAAGTAACTTATTATGAATATAAAATACACTCTTATTTCCCAACTGATTGTCATTGATCAGTAACACTCATATTATTGTGATTTGACACTAGTAACTAGTGTGATGCGTCTAGTCCTCTCTTTGGTGCAGACTGAATTCTATCACTCAGGTTGTAATGTGGCCACCACACTAGTTACTAGTGTCAAATCAAAATATCCACTACAGTCCTACAGGAGGTCAATCGCGAGCCCGAATAGCTCAGTGGCAACGTCTCTGACTGCAGCACTGGGTGACGCGGGTTCGAATATCAGAAGGGACATGAGTTCCTTCAAGGTTGCAGATACGCCTTGCTGACGAGTGCCAACTAGCACGAAACCTAGGTCCAAGGCTTCCTGTCGATTGCCTCCAACCATCTAATATCATCACTCATATTATTGTTTCTGGATGTACATTATCTCATATTGATTTTTATTCAAATGTCTAATCAGTTTCACTCATGTATATATATGAAGGAAAAATGTTGTGTGAGGAGTACGTTGATATGATTATGAGTGGCAATAATTTGTGCTAGAAACGTTGTAGTCAGTTAATATTACTGTACAACACTGTGTGATTTATCAAAACAAAAGTCTTATCCATAATGGAGTTATACTCTACCACCATAGTGCCCAAGTTTTATACTTATATCAAAAATGGGTAGGGTATGTGTATACGCATGAAATAGATTCACACAGATTGACAAAACAATACATTCTACAATCCAAATCATTCTCTAAAGGTGAGTTAGTAAGATGAATGTTAAAAAAAATAAATAAATAGGATGATAAACAATCAATTAATACTAGTGAATTTTTATGAAAACTCACACAACACACCTACCTAAATTGATCGTCTAATTCTTCATCGTCTAAGCCTAGACAACGTGCTGCAGCTGCAAGAAACGCCTGAGTAATATCATATTCAAGAGCTTCAACTTCATTTTCATTTGTTGGCGGTGTCTGATCCAGTAGATTATCTCCAAACTCTCCCCAATGGATTGAGCTTCGTGGACTACTGCTACAGCTACTATTATTATTATTATTATTATTATTATTATTATTATTATTATTATTGTAATTATTATTGTTAAAACTATTACTCTTAAAATTCAGCTGATCAAGAAATGCAAGAAACAGTTCACCACGTCCTAAAAGTAGGACATCTTTAAACAGGCGAAGGTAATCAATACATTTATGCTGTTGTATTACACTACACCAAACATGATGTAAAACAACACTTTTGATATCACATACAAGACTATCAATTTCATTGACATTAATCAAGCTACTCAAACTGCTTTCAGTTGACTGGATCCCATTGACATCTTCACCAACACAGGTTGACATTTCTGTAAACCGTGGAATATACACTTTTTCCAACTCCAAGATAAATGACGCCTCTGAAGGATTAAGACTAGCCGAGTAAACAGCCTGGCCAGTTTCAAATACTCTTTGAGCAAATGATGTAGGCAAAAATGAAGGAATGCAGTGACTGTCTATCACAAACAATGGTTGTTGTTTCTTCTTCTCATCTGAAATATGATTAGACTCAAGTTTTTTGATGAAAAACTCTGAATAAGGATCATACAGAACACCATAGATAAGCCATGAAGATAGTTGTCGATAGAATACTTGCATAACACGCGATACCACCTTACGCATAACATATCGTGGACCAGGAAGACCAGGAGGTGTTGCAGATAATATAACATCTAGAAGTCGACAACTTGATGAACTAGTATGCTTCATCATTTCAGGATTAATAACAACACTTTCAACCTTTTTTGTGACTTTTACAAGTACAGGTAGCAAAATCTTGTAGGCATGTAGGCGACAAGATAAATGTGAAACACCCATAGATTTATCTGTCGATAGTTCAGTCTCCAGTGTACATAAATCTGCTCGGTATTCTTTAAGGGAATCATCAATTCCAAAAGCGAAAGCTGATAAATACAAGCCATAATTAGGCTCTGAAAATTTTTCAATAAATTTTATTAAATAATTATAACATGAGCCTAGTTTTAATAGTTCTCTTTGTAGACTAAGTTCACTTTCAGGAAGGAGAAGATTATCATTCACCACAGGTATTAAATGTCTATCCAATTCTGTATCATCATTATCACCACCTTTCTCTGTAGATTCAATGAAGATGCCACCAGATATACCGTACAGTGCAAGTAATAATTCATGCAACATTCCATACACTATCGCTGAAAGGTATCTATCTAAAAAGGAAACAAAAAATATATAAAATTTATACAAACTTTTACAGTATCAATTTTTTTAAGAAAAGTTGAGGAGTGAAGAGAGCCACATACAATCAAATATAAGTAAAACTACTTATCGCACTAAATATTCCATAAAAGCTACAGGAACACTGCGTAGTATGGCAGTTATGCCAGACTAAAATGTATATTGGTGACAACTACGGAGTTCCCTGCTGACGAACCAGTGACAGTGACCGTCTCCTACAGTTCTATCCCGATAATTACCTGTTCCTAGTTATATCCGGATGGCTATCGATCAAAGGACGTGTGTACTTCTTAACGGTTTCCTCTGTCCTCCTTTATGGCAGTCAATGAGACATGGCAGCCATTGAAAGTGGAAGAAGTGAAAAACTAGCTGTCTTTAATCATAGGTGTCTGTGTTCTCTCCCTCATGTAAGGTGGTATAATTAACATAATAAACTGTGTTTGAGAAGCCATTCAGTGAATAATACTGTTTCCCTGTGTGATATATATAATAAACCAAGGAATATGAAATTACATACTACCAGTGCCCAAGTTTTACACACCTACTATTCTCCCAAATTACTGTTCTTTTTCGGCCAATGAAACTTCGATTTATTATCTCTCTGTTGAATCTCTCTTTAATCTTTTCTGTTGGTTTGTGTGACAAATGGTGTGGTAACTAGAACTGGCGCATATCTGTGCAGAGTTCTATGTTGAAACAAGTCAGTCAGAAACAATTGCGTCGGTGTTTTAACGGTAGAACTCTCGCCAAGTACTCACGCAGTCCAGGGTTCGATTCCCAACCAACGCACTCCTAAACCTTGCTTCATTAGAGTAACCAATAGTCTACTCAGAAAACAGGAAAGATTGGGTGTTGGGCGGGTAGCATCAACAACACCGCTACTGAGACTCCAAAGCTTGAAGACCATTATTTCACTCAGGAATTAAGGAGCGATAAAAACAATCAAAAAAATTTTAACACCCTCACTTAACTAGTTATTTATTACTCATTTTCTATCTACTTAAAATTTTATTAAATAATCAAATAATACGTAAAGTGTCTAAATTTTTCCACATATGCTTTTTACCACATTACTACTACAGATACGTGGCTCATCAGCACTCGATTTTACTAACGGTGAGGGCCTGGGTTCGCGTTCAGCCCCACCTACTTCAACCTGAGCAAATGGGTAGGATTTGCGGTTGACAATCTGGTATATGAATGTGTTATAGGCAACTCAGTTGAAGCAACAAAAATCAACATCAGGTTATCATTTCAAAGATAATCAATTTTTATACCTTCATTGGTTTCATTTCGCCTATTATCGATGATAAGGAGTTAGTGTAGTGAGCCTACTTGCTATAAGACATTTAGCAATTTTCCTTAAGTCCTAACTGGAGACTGAAAAATGTTTATATATATATATATATGTAAATTGGTCGGTCCGCAAAATTTGGCCTACCAATATATCATCTCTGGCGTAGGCGTGACATCCGACTATCAACCAAGGGACGTGTGTAGTGCTCAGCAGTTCACTCCGTCCTTCTCTATGGCTCTGAAACATGGCCAATACGAGTTGAAGACATGAAAAGGTTGACTGTTTTTGATCATAGATGTCTACTATCTCTTTCTCACGTTAGGTGGCATAATAAGGTAAGTAATGTCGTCATTAGGCGTTGAGTGTTGGGTAAAGAGGGAAAATCAATCGACGAGGCTATAAAGTTACATAGATTGAGATGGCTAGGTCACGTGCTGCGCATACCTAACCATCGCCTCCCCCACCCAGACGGGCATTACTAGCTGATATAGGCGCAGGTTGGAAAAGAGTAAGTGGTGGCCAAACAAAACATGGCCTCATCAATCCATGAAATCCCTGACAGTTAAACTGAGTCAGGTAGGGAGATGCATAGTTCCGGGTTGGGGCCCTCGGGACTCTAAGAATCAATGGCTGGAGACAATAGGCGACGTGGCTCAAAATCGTTGTCAATGGCTTACGCAGATGTATTCAGTCTCTGTAATCTTTCATATTCCTTTCTACCATTACTCATTCTGTTTCACTCTTATACTTGTCAAAACTCTATTGATTCTCTTCACTCATCTTCTTGTCTACGTTTGTGTGCTATTTGGAACATGGCAACTCGAAGTGCTGCACTTCGGTGCCAAGTTCTATGTTGAATCCAGACAGACAGACCAGTCAATGAAATCTACAACAGTTAGTCTAGGCCACGTAGGAAGGTGTAGACTTCCTGACTGGTTGGGGTCCTCGGGACGGTAAAAACCTATGGTTGGAAACAATTGGTGACATGGCTCAAATTCGTTCTCAATGACAGCGCAGATGCATCCACTTCTTGTGACTCATGATTTCCAATGAAACTGTTTTGTTCTTCGTTATTACTATTCCTTTGTCTCACACCTCTGTTTACTGACTCTAATATGCATTTCTCCTACTTTCTTCTCTTGCTTTGTATGCTACAAGGAGGAAGTGTGGCGACTTGAACTGCCGCACATATGTGCCAAGTTCTATGTCGAAAACAAACAGATGGGGACCTAAGGTAAATAGAATATCTAATTACTTTTAACAACTTCACTACGCAGACACTTTGTGACGTGTAAATAAAACAAAATCTTTGGATTATCTAAAATGATATGATAAAATAAGTAACAGCTCAGTAATGCTGAATATTGGTGAAATTAGACTGCACATTAGAACAATGAGTAGTTTAAAAGTGTTTTAGATGGTCATATCATTCCATATACTACAGATGCCTTTACAATAAAGATGAACATACTCTCATTATAGGTTCAAAATGAAACGAACAGAGCAATTTTAATGTACTTGTAAACATAACATGATGCCGGTTAATAGGAGACTCTACAATTAATCAACCCTGCTCACAAATTACACTCATAACTTACACAAAGAAGTTCCAAGTTAAATAAAAATAAAAAATAACTGCTTGGATTCAGTGGCAAAGGAGTTGCCCAATAAAGACAAGAGGTGGATAAGGTGCTGAGTAACTAATAAGTTGAGTGATAATGTGGTTAGTTTTATTCGAGTCATGGAAACAAAAGACAAACAAAATTGTTGTAGCGTGCGAGATTACGCAATCAAATGAGAGGAGGAGGAGTGAAGACATTGAGTTACAAGGGCAAGGAAGGACTGATAACTGCTTCTTTTTTAACAACACACACATCGGGTTCTATGCGTTTGATATCAGTCGCTTCGGCAAAACTGAGGGGAATTAAACGATTTATTTCTCAATTGATAATTTTAAAGAATCTCAGGGTGCCCACCTTACGACCTGAATATACGGCACAACCAGTCACGGCATACTTTTTAGTTCATGTTCAGAAAATCAGAAGTATGTCCTTCTTTCTGTTCCCCCGATGTAACTGCTACCGAAGATACACATACATTTGTATACACAAAGTTAACATAACAAATGGCATTCGTCTGCCCTTGATTGCACCAAAGACTATGTTATCCGATAAAAGGATAACTAACTAAGCTGTGAGATAGCTTATGACTAGTGAGGTAATCACTTTTCTGTGACTATTCCTGCAATATTATCACTTCTGAAATCATGTCGTATGAAAATAGGTTTCCAACTGTACCGACGACTTCAGTCAGACAGTCTACACCTGCCTAAACAACTAAGATGATTTCGTGGATTGCAGCGACATTTCAACCTGACTATCTCTAATTCTCTCTCTTTCAATACAATCTTACTTCACAGTTAATTTTATCTGTCGAGAATATGCGTAACACATTCTCCAGTCATCTCAACTGATCATTATTACCACATGCTGGTAAGGCGGCTCCATCTACGTTCGAACCAGGTGACGCTTTTGCACGTGTTTTCGTTTATATTCATTTATTGCTTACTGTTGATTGATCTTTAATAACGATGGGCCGAAATTCTAAAAAGAGTGTTCGTGTAAACACCAGTAATTTAGAAAATAGCACCAGCTCGTCTAATAACACATTACCAACCCTTATTATGAGTAGTTCACCCAACATAAAAGACTCGAACATAACTCTGACCCCTGTAATACAGGTGGAAGATGTTCTGTCTGAAAAGGTATAGCTCTCTTACTTAACATGCATTATTAAAGAGATGCAGCTTCAGATAGATGAATTAAAAACGAAATTAAGTTCATTAGAATGTATACCCGAAACTATCTCACTTATGAAAAAGGAACTGCAGGATCCTACAATCCTAAAGCTTTTTAATATGACCTCTAGAATGACGCCTACTGACTCAGAAAATGCGAAGGAGTTAGAAAACGCCATTGACTTTCTATCCAGCGAAGTTGTTAAAAGGCTGGCTTCGAAACAAAACGCTATAGTGTATAATGTACCAGACAGCGAGCCCATTAAGTCGGTTCAGCACTCATTGCTGAAGGCTGCAAATCTCTTGAGTGCACCTTGTCAGTGCATTCGCCTAAGTAAAAAAGACCTAAAGCATCCATGTCCTATACTCTTTAGGTTCGACAGCTACATAATAGCTGAACGATTTAAGAAGGCCGAAGATCTTCTGGCTACTGCCACTAAATTCAAGACTATTAAAGTAGTCTCGGATAAAACAACTAACCAAAGGCAAGCAACCAAGAACTCCTTCGATACAAAGTTGAACACACCGAGAAATACACCTGGTATCAGTGCTAAAGTGTCGACGGACACAGAAGCACAGCAAGTCACCTGTATAGTGTTGGGAAAAAAATCGGCAAGTAAAAGCGACTCGAAACTCAGTAAGAGCAGTGTCACTGGGTGCAATCTTAAAGTACATGAGAGCACATCTGGAAAACCTGCTGACATACATGAGGTTGATATTGACTCACAAACTATGGCTGACCAGAAACCACTGGCAGACCACACTCAATCTGGATGCAAGCCCGAGAGTCCCTCAGTAGAAACTGCAAGAAAGACCACAAAGCCTAGAGTCCCACTCCAGACTTCGACA